AGCATAGAACCGGGGGGAAAAACAACAGGACATATATATATATATACATTAGCCGTCTTGTTGAGGAACAACATGCCAAGGCTGAATGTTGGTCATTTCTCATAGACGGAGTTGCGTGCGCACATTCTGTGTGCCAGCAAGGCACCCCGAGTGGCATGGAGTGGCCCCTTGGATGCGTTTGTGGTGGGGAGAGCTTCTTGCAATTCCTTCCCCCATTGATTAACAAAATCATGCAAAATCTGTTTTATAGAATTGATAGGGTAAGAAACCAACACTTCTGGCTCTGGGGTGGTCCATAGAGCCATAGAGAGCTGCAACATGCGCCTCTTGACCGCAAAAAGGGAAGGCAAAGCCTGAGAGTTTGATCATCTTGAGCTCGGATTCATCTCCCGTGTGGGCTCGTACCGTCGTACCTCCTCAGAATTTGGACCCTCTAAACCCTCCCCAAATACCTTCTAAGAAGGTGATTGAAGCCCACAAGGGTCTTGCATTTGCCTTTCAATTCTGTTGTTGGTTACCCCGCCCTCTCCTTCGTCGACACGGAGATCCGTCAGGTGATGCAACGCAATGGATTTGCGCGAGTCGCTTGTCAGATGAGGACCCGTCGGTGGTTGAGGTGACGAAGAAACAGGGTGAAAGAAGGAACAGGTGACACTGTGACACCCTAATATAATCTAATATATAATGACAGCTTCTGCGCCGGTGTTTGTTTCTTTCAGAGTGGGATTTGGCCACTTACAGCGGCCCGGCTGGCGAGTTGGTAGGTCGGAAGGCCTGGGAACGCGGTCCATGATGAGGGATCAAAGACCAACTCTTGGGATGGAGGTGAGGGGGTGCCGCAGAAGAACAGGGACCATTGGAATCGCAGGTTTCAAATTGTTTCAAGAGACCTTAATGTAGGCATATATGGCAGTCCCATGAGTGACTAATTTTTCAAGGATTTTGGCTCTGTGTGTTGAGTTCGGGTTCACAACATTAGTGGTGTTTGGGAATAGCCTGTTTTTTGGGCGGGTTCGAAATGATCGTTGCATAGCTGTCGCTGGGATGGACTGCGACAGGTCGACCCCGGGCGGTCGACCCCGGGCACCAAGGGCGGTCGCCGGGAGAGTGGGTGTTGAAATGGTGCACGAACCATACCAGCAGTGTGTACCAAGTGTTGTTGTTGTTGTTGTTGTTGTTGTTGTTGTTGTTGTTTTGGTAACTTGTTTTTTGTGTGTTATTTGTGTGTGTTTGCGGATTTTCACGGTGGTTGGCACCTATTTTGCGGCTTGCATTTGGCACTGAGAACTGTGTCAATGACCACCACTGGTCAACGTTTAGTCATTGGAATATCCAGGATGGCACCAATGGTTTTTGGTATTTGATGTGGAAGGTTTGAACATGTTTGAACTCTTCATCATTGGAAACTGAGGATCGTTTTCATTTGTTTTCATATGTGTTGATCACTTGCATGGGCCCAAGCAGTTGCTCATGGCTGCATCATTCTGAACCATTAAACTCGCCAGCCGCCTGGCACCGTGGACGGCCACGGCCGCCGGAAAGGCACGACGCGTTCCATCCGTACCGAAACGAAAGACCCCGGGCGCTGCGTACCTGAGCCGCTGGAGAGCTCTTCAGAGCTCGACCGGTGGAGAGGCCGTGCCCGTGGCCAGGACCGTGCCTTGAAAGCGAGCTATGAATGGCGGTTGAAGGTCTTGATGACCCAGATCCGAGAGAGCACGACGCATGCGCCACATGTGAGGGCCATTTTGTGTGGGGATATGTGGGGTGAGGGTGAGTAGAGGAAGAGACTGTTTTGGGTTTTGCGCTTCTTCGCGACGGACATATAGCCAGAGCCTTGTGGAGAACAGGCCGCCAAGAGCCTAAGATTCCAAAGCGACGCTTTCAGATAACACTGCCAGTGATTGTCATTATTAATTAATGCAGAGTATATAAGTTTAAGTACCATATAATAATAGGGTGGGAAACCCTACTATTATTCCACCACCTGGAAGCGGCTGTTCGGAAAATGGTAGTCCAAAATCAGGGCCATGTTCATCCGATGTTCCAAACTTCGATCTTCAAGGACCCGATCGGGTGGTTAGACCATCTCTTCAGGATCGGTGGGCGAGGAGCCCCCTGGCATCTACCCCAACCATCTTCTCAGGCGGTGGGCCAGGAGCCCTAGGAGGAGCCCTGCTGTTCTTTTTTCGCTGCTTCTTCCCACACCGCGGCTGACAGCGGACGTCTGGTCAGACGTCTTGGGCTCAAACGCGTTTTCAGAGCCGCCCGACGGGACTGAACGACACGGCCCGTCGCGCGGGTGGCACCTGTGGAGAAAACGGGCCGCAATGCTGAGTCTCCAGGTGTCCTTGCTCAGTGGCTTACGCTGCAGAAACGGGCGTGAGGGCAAGGCGTGTATGGCTAACGCAAGAAGAGGTCGTTCCTGATGGATCGAAGCCCAAGAGAAAGGCGGGGAGTATCGAATTGGACGAACAAGGTGCTCGGAACCTGTTGTGTGAAGATTAGACATTCCAGGTCGGGTTGTGGTTCTAAGTTTGCTGCTGCTGCATGTTTTTTGCCGCTATATATTGCCGCCCATTTGGCAGTAGCTAGGCGCTGGACAAGCTGATCCTATGAATACCTGGATCTAGCAGCGGTTTGGCAACACCCCCAAGTAAGAAGATCTAAGAAGCACTTGTATAAAGACTTTTTTCCTGGGGGGTGGCGAAAAGGATACACAACTCTATCCCAGAGGATCCCAATTACCACCTGTAAGATAAGGAACCAGAGTTTCTAGCTTTATGCTTTCAGACTTTAGAACCACTGGAGCATCGCCAAAATTCTATCTCCTGCAATAGCCTCGTGGCGAAATTGCCGCACATGCCACGACTCGAGTCAACCCTCCGTCCAAGGTGGACAGACCATCGAGGTACAAATCCCTCCTGATGCCTCTTTGAACCGCTTGCGGCGCCTGGTCCAGGCGTTCTTTCTTTCTGCGTGCAAGCGATGTCAGCGCGGTGATTTTCGTGAGAGTTGTGTGGTTTGTGTTGGGTTTCCTTCCCAGAAGCCAGGGAGCTTCATGACAATTTGGTTTGTTCTGTATGAGTTTGTCAGTTGCACACGTTCAACTTCAACGGTCAGACTTGGAGCCAGAAGGGACGGATATGTTGGGCAAGGCCTAAAACAGCAAGCTGCGCTCAGCCAATTCATGCGCCAACTTTCGCTTCGGGAAGTTGATCACTGCGATTTTCACATCGTGGCTTTGTCCAGTTTGGTCACTAATGAGATTTACAGGGAATCACAAGCAGACGGCATCAGTAAAAAACGCATCTCTGTGTGCCAAAAGTTGGTGATTCACTATAGTACCCAGATACCTATCGATCTTTGAACCGCAATATGTTTGCGATGGTTGTAGATGAACAGGCAGACATGCTGCACAGTTGGAAGATCCAGGCTGCGCGAATTCGTGATGTAAGTAAGCCAGCATCACGACATCGGGTGGCCCAGTTGTGCGATTTGTTCAAGGTTGGACAGAATGGACCCCATCCACCTGAATAGCTATTTATATATAATTACATAGTTACATAGTGTATTTTAAATATACTGTAAGTATACAGCCAAATTATAATATTTAACTTACAGTATAACTTACCCATCAACATCATGCTCCATCTCAAGACTTCTTCAAATGCCGATTCCCATTTTCTCCAAATGCAGTTTTGAGCCACACCATGCCGTTTCTGCCAACGCACCAACACGTCGGCCACTTCAGTCGAAGCTCCAGAAGTCCTTCAGCTTCTTGGCGCGCTCCGATGGCCGAAGCCTCCCCAACGTGGGCAGCCTCGCGTCGGAGCGGTCACGCGCGGTGCGCGTGGACCCGAGCGTCCAAGGGGCGCGTAGGAACGCCGTTGGAGAGTGGAGAGTGGAGGTTAGACTCCTGCAGTTCAGTGGTTCAGTGGATTTACGAAGTGTCTCACCAAGTGCTGCGCTTGCGACGAAATCTGCACTTCGAGGTTCAGTTCTTCGCCAGTAGCTGACTTTGAGGCTTTGATTTCCTGGACCGGTCATGACAGAGCCATCTGCAAGATTAAGCTGGTTTGTTATTTATATCATTCTATATCTCTTTGGTGTGTCCATTATATAGCACCATATAATCATATAGCTACACCTATTATATAACAAGATGGAACCGTGTGCCATTCAAGACTTGTTGCTTTCTCCCTATGGAACGCTGAGTAAGATAGAGCTATATAATAGGCTGAGCGATCGGATTACAGGTTTTTGCTCTACAGGCACCCGCTATGCTCAGCATCCGTTGCCCTTGCATTGAAGGGCAAAACCATGTAGCTTGGACATCAACAAACACTCCTAGTCGGCTATGATACACGACCTGTAGAGAAAAATGCCACAGCTCTTGTAGTCTCTACAATGTCATTGCTTCATATTGCTTCGATTGGCGATTTCAGCACTGCCCAATTTCAATATATTTCAATGTCCACCAGGTGCGACCTCCTCTCAGTCCTTTCTGACGTTTGGAGATCCGGATTTCGATGGCCCTTGCGCCTTGCCGCAGGAAGAGCTCCAGGATGGAGAAGAGCTGACCGCGGTTTTCAAGCTTCATCCACGCCTTTGTGCCCACCCCGACGGTGCGGCAAACTTAAACCGCCGCGGGATGCGTGTCTCTTTCTTGGAGGTCCGACTTGGACGCTTCCCGGTTTGCTTTTTGCCCTGCCCGCAGAGGAATTGCTAGCCACAGATTCCATTAGTGGCCTAAACTATCATAAATATGTTCTTCGAGCTAAGAAGAACCATTGAAACCAAAAACGCAAGTGGATTTGCCACTCGAGGTTGGTCTGAACTGCTTCCCTGGCTTCGGCTTTGGTTTGGGGATGGTTGGGCGAAGTCTGGTGATCCAGCATTGGGAAGAGGTGTTTTTTTCTATATATATATTGTTTTAAAGGCAAGATCGATCCGTGAATCTCACGGGCGTGGAAAGGTTTCGCTTCGGGTTGCTTATCGGTGTGTCCCACCATCAGACGGGGGGACTTGGTCTATTCAGACGCCATGCAGATCCGAAACATCCGCTCGACAGTGCTGGACAGTGGGGTGGTGCTGGCATGTGCTGGCAGTGGTCAATCGGATCCAACCCAGGAGGCCCCCCAGGTCCGGACGTCGCGCGCGGCCAGCGTTTTTGCTCGATGGAGGTGATTCGGAGACAGGCCGCCTTTGCGCAAGAGAAAGGGTTGTTTAAAGCGGCCCGCGCATGGCATGTCTCCGCCAATTTTGTTGGGTGGAAATGTGCAGAAACTTCCTGCTCCACTCTACCGCAAGTGTCGGAGGTGGATTTCTTCATTAGCCATTCATGGGCTTGTCCTTCATGGAAGAAGTTCCTTGCAGCTTGCTTTCATTTGAATTTGGACGCTGCGATCGTGCTTTCGAACCTGACATGTTTCGGCGGAGTTCTGATTCTGCGAGCGCATGCTGGAAGCTTCGTGGGGATTGCAAGCGCCTGCCAGGGTTGGCTACAGAGCGCTTTGATGTTCTATCCCATGGGAGTCTTCCTAGCGACCTTCTTCTTCGGATGCTTACCTGATTGATCTTTGGGAATCTTTGGGGTATGGAAGGCCTCCTTTGGTTTGACAGGGGTACAAGCCAGTCAGATCAACAATCCAGTCAAATCCGAAGCGCCAGTTCCAGTCCCAGGATCATATTTAAAAGCCCTTTGTTGTTTGCACAGCCCACTCATCCCCTTGGGCGCGAAACTGGCCAACCTGAGGTTCGGTGCTTGCGGTCTTTAGGGGTCCACCTGAGGATGTTAGGAGCACCGAGGGGTTGATCGTTCCTGGCCCAAATCCCCCATCGGTCTCGTTCCAACCAAATCCCGCACCGAGAGAGGTCTGAGTCTTGGGTGGTCGTGGGGCCGCTCAGTCAGTGGGCGCTCACTGAGTCGAAGCGGTCGAAGCTCGGGGGATTTGGGGGCAAGATCCCTAAGAGATCTGACAGGCAGCCTCTAGGAACGTCAGGGCCCTCGTAAGCTACGCTGTGTCCGTCTTTGGAACCACGGGTGGCCTGTATAAAACTGGGGTTTCCCTCACAGACACGGCCCTTTCGCGGTGGCAGCGGTGTCAGGACATCTCGTAAGCCGACGCAGCTTCTGGATCGATGGCGTGTGCATCAACGAAGAGACTCTCTTGGCCAAGTATCACACCATTCAAGCGATTCCAGCCTTCGTGGCCTACTCCAAGCAGATGCTGGTCTTATGGGATTGCACCTACCTAGAGAGGCTTTGGTGTCTTTATGTGGCTCGGTGAGTTGATCAATACAGAGTGAAGGCTTTAAGTTATTCTTTAACGGTTGATTGCTTGCTTGGGGGTCGGTTGGTCATTCAAGAATCATTATAATATATAATAATTAATTGAAATATGATTGCCATTTGTGATCATTTGTTTTGGTTGGGGCACCACGAACTATTGTTACCACGTTGGGATTTCGGAGGTGTTTCACCTTGTGCCTCGCGGAGACGTGTGCGATCTCAGGAGATAGCAGTGTTTGCGAAGACCTCGCAGACTCATGACACCACTTTCGTGCCAATTTGGGCTGCCATTTGGACTTTGACCACGATGATTGCCATTTTCCTTGCATCCGTCAGCTATTTGGACACCTTTTTGCGTGCGCGAAGTACGGGAGCGTTTTGGTTTCCTCCAATAATGTTTGCTTTAATCGTTTAACTCTTTTGGACCGCGATGTCGCCGGGTTTTTCCGACTGTCAAACACATGGGGCAGATTGATCCGGGACTCCCAGGGTTCTGCAAATTCAGCCATAGAGTCACCGGTTGTGCCTAGAAGGCCAATCTATCTAAATCCTTTCCGCCACTCCATGGGACTGGCATATTTACATTGGGGTGGTTTGGGAGGTCATTCTAGTCATATTCCATGCATGGAGTAAGGGGGACAAGTTGGATGTCCGCTTGCAGGACACTTTGCCACCCCACTTGGATCTGGACACGGAGGGGTCACTTTTTCTCTCTTGGTTCAAGAGCACCTGGGGCCCTCCGGAGGGCTGTGTCATCGCCGCACTGCCCTTCTCGTGGTTTTGCTTGCAGAAGCTGCACGGCCATGAGAGGATGCTTAACCAGACGCTTGGCACAGATGTGTGGGAGATGAGCCTGCGCAAAGAGGGTGACCTGGTCAGGGCCGGCCCTAAAACTAACACCCCAAGGTGGGCAAATGATGTAAGTCCCGACAGGTCATGTTTAAACATGACAAGTTAACAAGAAGCTTCTGGAGGCCATCGCTATTGGGTTGGAGGCCATCGCTACTAGGGTGGAAGCAATTACTACTAGTAACAAGAAGCTACTAGGAACAAGTTAAAACAGTTCTTTGTGTTTTGCACTTCTTTTCTTGGCCTCGGGACTCACACCTTCATCAAGGCTCAGATGGTTTTGTTCAGCCTCAGAAGGACCTGGATGAAGAGTGATTATCTTCTCACCAGATTAAATCCATCAGAGGGGCCCAATCTTGATCATGGCTGGGCCAGAATGCAGGCCTTTTGGTCAATCCAAAAGCTCTAAGTCTCCCATTCTGGACGGACCAGGATCTCAAACTTTGACTTCAGAAATGCCAAATGCACCTTGGAGACGGACCGCGTCACCATCGAACAGCAGGTCGTTGATCTTTTCGATGAAGCGTTGGAAGGTCCAGCGTCCGTGGCCTTATCATTTGACATGGAAGAGGTCGATGCGTCAAGGACACTGGCAACACTCACTATTCTCACATCACCCAAAATGTTGAAATTGTTCAACAAGTCTTCGATCACTTGCATTCTTGGGGAGAGGCAACCCCAAAACATTTCAGGTATTATAAGGCGTTGAAGGACTAGTTTAAAATACTGTACTGTATGCCAATGCTTGTCTTGTCCATCCACCATGAAGAAGAGCTTTGCAAACCCCTGATCAGTGCCTGATCAGGACAGATGCCCAGATGACAGCGGACCCACTCCTTCAGCTCTCTCCCCGAAGCCTTCAAAGCTTCCGGCACGTCACCAGCTATCCCTCGCGTGGCGAGGTGGTCGACCAATTCAACTCCTATGTCAGAGGCCCGTTGCGACAGAGGGTGCTTGGCCTCGTCGGCAGTGAGGTGGACATCCCTTTCAAGTGGTGCCTCACTGTGATGATGCCTGCGTGGTGGTCGGCCTGGGCCATGGTGCTGGGGTGCGAAAATCGAGACTGCCACACCTCGTGCTCCCAGGAGGGTTGCTCGCAGTGGAAGATTTGTTGATGCCTCGGGGCACCTCATAAGTGAAAATCAACAAGGGGCCATCCCGATTGTTCAACTAACTAGGGTTCCAAGTATCTTCTAATAAGGTGTTTGAGGTGGGTTTGGAGGGTTCAATTGCCTTTTGAGGAGGTACGACTAGAGCCCTAATTGCGCCCTTTTGCAAATTCTTCAGGGTTGAACTTTCGGTGCGGACACTGGGAAGGTCACAATAAAATCCGAATCCAAGGCTATTCCTCCGTTTCGCTCTACTGGCTGACAACGGCAGCGGTGAACCTAATTATTTGCCCCATTGCTGGCACCCTGAACTTCCCCCTGGCACTGCGGGCCAACCATGTGGTGGCCGGGCTCATCTCAGGACGGACTTCGAAGATGGTTCAAGTGACAGGCTTATTCTCATCATGAGCTTACCAAACAAAAAGGATCAAAAAGGTTTGCATGAGCAGCAGCAGCTGCACATGTCGATAACATGGTTGCTTACACCGAGTCACAATACCATGCACTTACTTGCTTGGTTTTGTGAAGACGTTGCCACCCAATCCAACAAATCCTGTCGCTCTGTGACATGGGCATTGGACACAAACCTTTGGATTTTTTGTCAAAGCCCAGGATCCGTGCCGCAACTGGTGCTGGGAACACTCTTCACCACCGTGGTGCTCTTGTTGGTCCAAGGTTTTCAAGCGACGGCCGTCGGTGGACTGGCCGTGATCGTGACCAAGTCTTCGTGGCCGTGGCTGCTGGGTTACATGGCAGGCCGGAAGGGTGACTGAGCATCCACGTTTTTGTGCCTGGTGAGGTGATAGGGTGAGTTGCAGGCATTGGACTTGTAGGTGATCCAAAGAGCGTAACTTTGAGATGGCATGAGGTGTTACTTTCTCAAGTCCTTGCCATTGCGCGTATTGGACACGTCGGATGACTTGCGCACACTTGTTGCTCGCGTCCTCTTGTGGCATCAGCGAATATGAGCGACATCAACTGAAACATCGCATGAATCCAACGACGTCCGCACGTCACACCGCAGGTCTGGCTCTGATCTTCTGGCAGGTCTGGTGGTTCTTCTTTAGGAAAGCCTCAGCACTGAGCCAGCGGCCCCTTCTGCGAGCCTGACAAAAGGATGGCGGATGGCGCGAGCCAGTGATGGGCCGGCAGGAGGCGTAACTGAACGCCACCTGCCAAGGTGCATCGGTGCATCAATGAGTAAGTGGACGCCGGGACCCTGTAGTCAAAAAAACAACATTCAGAGCAATCCACACGGAAATTGCTCCAAAACATATTTTGATTACAGATTATATGTCTCTCAAAACAACATACAGAACATGGACTCAGAGACATACAGTGGAGATCCCAGATTCCTTTCGAACTTGTGTTGCTGGACCTTGAGCAGTTCGTCTGTGTTTCCCCCCAGGACGACAACACCGATCTCGTTCCGTCGTCAGCTCGTCACCTTTTCCGCCAGGCGCGGGCTTTGCGGCGATCCGCCCGAAGAGCGGCATGGTCAAGATGTGGGGCCACACCATTTGCGCGCCTTGGGGCGATGTGGGGTGGCAATGGGTGGCATGTTGTTCTTTTTTGTTAACCTGTATGTTTGTTGGAGTTTTTTAGTATGATACATGGTATGTTTGGTTACCAAATGCATGAATTCTGAATACCGCCAAAAGCCTTTGATCAATCCAGGCACACTAAAGGACAGTCAAGCGAAGGATGTGTCTATTTGTCAGAGATAGCTTTGGAGAGAAGCGGGATGGCACGGCAAGCCACGGATGGGTGGTTTTGAGTGCTTGGTTTTTGGTTTACGTAGCATGGCCCCTCGTCGTCATAGCGTCCTTTACAGGGTGGACGGATATTTATATATTTAGACATGTTGCTCATATGTGCAAAACACGTCCCCACCCAACAATTTCATTTTATAAACCTTATAAGTGTTTTCAGCAAAAGTTTGAGGAGTGGGTTTGAAGGTGATTTCAGCCACGGCCTAATGTGCATGATGCTTGACCTGTGCCAACGGGTCCTTCGACTCCCAGCCCATCACAGGCTTCATGTTTTCCAGCCACAACTTCATCCTGCCTTGGTTTTGCTTAGGGTTATTGAAATCTTCATCCTGAGTGAATCTCCTAGAGGGGATTCACTTGCACATCGTTCTTCCAGCAAGTCTGGACATCTCCTCCCTGCGATCCGATTGAGGAGATTTGCGGAGGTTGCCCGCCACAGCCCACACGTGCGCAGCTCTTCCACGTGGTGAAGCTGTGTGCGACGCAGAACGCCTTCGCCGCGGTGCGGAGCGATGGACGAGTCATCACTTGGGGCGACGAGTCGAGCAGTGGGAGGGTGGCGTCGTGAGGAGTGGGAGGGTGGCTGGAACAACCTCTGACTGTTTGGATGTCCAATGAGAACGGAGAGATTCATGTTGACGTTTTGAATGGGGGAGACTCCGCCACTGTCGTTGGCACTGAGAGAGTTCAAAGCATTCACATCGAACCAAGATAGACTAGTTCATGACTCTTCAACCAAAACATGTTTGCCCCAGAAGATGATGAGAGTCGTGGTCTTCTCCTCCCACCCTCCGAACCAACTCCTTGATCACCTCCTCACCTCGGGACCGCCCAGGCGAGTGCTGCTCGGGCGGGGATAGCGTGGCTGTGTCGGAGCAGTTGGTCGAAGTCCAGGATGTCACTGCCAACTGCAAGGACTGGAGAAGTGGATCCGCACCGGTTGCGGATCCGGGACGGTTGGATGATGTTGGATCGGTCGCTTGGATGGGTCGCTTGGATGATTTTTTTTCCCGGTGGGACAGGGGATTGGAAGGGGAGGAGTTGGGAGGGTATGAAGTTTTGTTGCTTGGGATCTTTTCGAGTTTTGAAAGGATTGGTGACCTGGTGAATGAATGCTTTTCTGGTTCTTCTCTTATAAATTCTTATAATCTCATGCTTGTGTCATGTGTTTCTTGTGTTGGGTGAAGCAACTAAAGAGGGGTTGCCGTTGTGAAGTGTTAAAGTGGGATCCATTTTGAAAACAGTCTCCTTGGTTACCTGTTCTACCATGCTTTTTCTTTCGGATATAATTTGAGCCATGCCGAAGACCACCTGCAGGTGGTAAACTCTACTGTACTTCCATGATGAGTCCGGGGAGTGCATTCTGCAATACAACCTTAACTGCCCTTTGATGGACCCACATACTGTAGGCCCTTATATAGCAACTTTTGTTACATCGATGTAAAAATCTTAGCAGGGGATCTACACGGACAATCCAGAAACCAGTATAAAACACATACTGTAGTATAGTGAAACTATAATGAAACTATGACAGAATTTACCATAACTGTCACCAACTTCGTGCCTTCACCATGCACTTTTCTCAACCAACCCACCTTCCAACTCTCTAATCCCCAAAACGGCCACGTCCAAACAACTGCTTCAGTATAGACTTCAGATTCCCTCCATCAAACATCATCAAACCAACCTTCCTTCTTTTCCAGGTGCATGGCAGGGTGACTTATATAGATGTGACTGGTGGCCAACTGGAGTTTACAGGTGGTTTACAGGTGGGCTCTGCCACCCCCCTTGATTGGCCTTACAAACCACCCGAACCCCCGCCGTGGACCGCTGACACGCGACAGGCCTTTGCGGCGATTCGCTCTGACGGATCGGTCGTCACCTGGGGCTTTCAGCCCGTAGGTGAGACCCGGGGGAGGGGCGGAAGGGTTGGGATCCTGGACTGACGACCAGGTGGAAGGAGCCCCGGCAAGTACGAGCTTATATCCCACTTATTAGAGCATGTACAATAATGCATATGTTAATATATACCACGTGTTCAGAAATGGGTCGCAGTTCAGGTTGAAATTGACCTCTCTTGGGAGTTTGCATGAGTTGAAATTGATGGAAGTGTGATTCTGCAGTTGTTTCAAGAGCTGTGATTGAAGTTCTGAAGATCAGGCGTTATTCTATGCTGCGATGATACACAGTGGTTGATGATAGTTGACGTTTTTGCGCTTGGTTCAATTTAGAGAGTTGTAAAAGTCATGCGGCCATGCGTGGTGTTTTCCGTTGCGTTCAGACGGCCTCCATATTCAAGCCTCTGATTCTTGGCAAGAGTGTACTGATGGAGCCATCGACCTGGAGTGATGAGCTCCACCAAGTGTGGACACGTCACCGGCGAAGTCGTCAAGCCTTGACGATGAGTGAGATGGTCACATGGGGTCGTTTTGATTAAATGCTTTTGGAGTATTGTGGAGCGTGGTCTTCTTGGTAGAAATGCTAGACCCCGAATCCGCGAAGACATCGGAATACCGCTCCCTTTCTTCTGCAACTTACATTATATAATATACAGTATATATATGTATATTTTTTGGTTATATATAATATATATATATATAATTAGTTATAATTACATATTGGTGACGGGTGTGACACTGCAACAACAAGCCGTAATGCGCCACCATGCTAGGTGGCAATAGCCTTGCGGTCCAGTCGCAGCTAGTGGATGTGCAGGAGACTGGATCGTTGGCCATTTTGTGCTGAAGCCACGTGGGAATCCACGGCTCAGAGCTGGTCCTTCACTCAGTAGACTCGTAGACCTGCCTTTGTGCTTTATAGTTTGATGACCTCCAATCTTTAGGCAAGCAAATGGTTGAAGTTGAGACTTCCGGATTTCATGATTGCTTTTGCAGACCAGTGGTCTTCCTCCATACAATCCTCAGTGCTTGACACAGTGGGATCAACTGATCCGACCTCACAGCTGGCTTCCGATCACTCACTGACTGGCTTTGTCGTCCACCAAAATCACCTGGTCACCCAAGAAAGCCGAACCACAAAGAGACACCCGCATCCAAAAAAAGCCGCCTCAACAAATCTTAGACACTCACCCAACGCGTCCCGACGCGGCGTCCGCAACCAACGCGTCGTCCGAACTTGGGCGAGAGCGGCAGGAGATTGTGGCCGCGCCCTTCGCCTTCGCAGCGCTGCGCGCTGACGGGCGCGTCGTCACCTGGGGCACACCGATGAGCGGCGGCGACAGTCGCCAGGTGGAGGCGAGCGGAAGACGACGGCGGCCACTGCGGGGGCGTCCGGAGCTCCAAATGGGGCAGCTCAGCTAAGGAACAAATGGTTACACAATGTTATATAGCAGAATATGATTTATGCAAGCCATGCCGCCATGCCATGCCATTTTCTAATTTGGGGAGTGTCACGGGAGTGTGTAATTATATGTTACCAGTACCCAACAGGGTCACCACCAGCCACTCTCCATTTCAGCCATCAGAGACCTGTTTCAGTCGGCTCGTGTGCAAACAGTGGACATGAATGGATTCATGGGTCGTTGGGCTTGTCTCCCATGCAAAACCGCCCAGAACAGCGGAGACAGGCACATCAAGTGTCTTTTTCACGCCCGTTTCCTTGCTGTGAGTACACATGTCCAAGTGACCGTCCGGTGTGATGCATCTTGATGAGCAACATCCGGTGTGATTTTGGTGGGTCGAGAATTCCAGAGAATTGATTGTTCGGCCCTGGGTCCCTGGGTCCAGTCGTACTTTCAGAACTCATCTTCCGAACGCCAAACTCTTCAGTTCGTGACCTTTTGGGAGTCCAGTGTCCTGTTGCAGGCCCAAGTGACCTCAAACTGGGCTTTCCGAAGTTCGGTCACTTTGAAGAAACCAGGAGGGTGCTTTGGACCACGTGTGGAATGTTCCCCTGCAAACGGTGGCTGCTTTCCCGCACGTTCCAAACAGGAGCAGCTGGTGGATGTGGTCTCAGTGGTGCCGAGTAGCTTGGCCTTCGCGGCTCTGAAAGCCGATGGCACTGTCGTGTGTTGGGGCGACCCACAACGAGGCGCGCGGCGGAACCGGATCTTCCAGACGCACGACGGGTGACACTCAGAACATCTCAGAACCCACTCGGGTTCAAGTCCCCCAAGAAGCTACTGGGTGATTCAGAAGCCTTCCCCCAAACAACAGACATGGATTGTATCACCTGTTCGTCACTGCACCTTCGAGTCGGCACCTCGTCCTCGTCCTAAAAGGCCATGATAACCCATGTGGTGTTCGGACTGGAGGTCAGGAAAACGGGGTGTCTAAACGTCGAAACGCCAGGAGTAGGGAGGTTCAAACCTACTTACTCTAT